TTACAAGCAGGATGCATGGTTGGTAGAAGGTCGGACTCGTAATGGAGAGGCCTAAATTCCAGTTTGCTGAAATTATACTTTTTTTCCTCCAAGGTAGTTGAATGTGTGGCACTACGGGAACACCGGAGTATACATCATAGTAATAACGAAACTGTAGACACGACCTTTGAGAAAAGGAACAATAAAGTACTCCTGACTGATGTCTCTGGCACGGAGATTGGCACCCCTCCATAAGTTGCGTGAAAAGCAGTCACAAATGGCACACGTCATGGAGAGGATTTCCTTCCGTTTTACAGGGCTTAAATTACGCGTAAATGTTTTACTTACGCGTTAAAATTTCAGACTATATTTGGAAAGAGGTTGTTCAGATTTTGAAAAATATTTCTTTATGCTCATTTCTTCTGAGATACAAAATTTCAACGATAAAACGATTCACCAACAAATATTGTTGTTGCATTTTTGAAATAATTAAGATTTATATTAAGTTAAAGTGTTGTTTTCTTTGAGTGACGATTAAAGTGCTTTTGAAAACATTTCATCATGCAACTGTCTCCGGAAATGTCTTCCAAACAGAGAAGGACGACTCATAAACTTTAGCAATAGAAAACTCATTTTGTAATTAGAAGGCGTAGGTGGAGATTATTATTCCTGCCGCTTTGTTGATCTGAACAACAGGCACCAGTGTTTATCTGTCAGTCATGCCACTGTTCCTCTAATGGTTCAGAAAATGGCATTTATGTTGCTGTTGTATTCTTTGTATGATATCACTGTTTTGAACTGTCTTTTATTTCATGTTCTCATACAGACCTTGCTTTATTAGCGGTCAGAGCTAAGCATATGCAAGAAGCTGCGTGCCGCTAAATATTTGTTGCGTCCAAAACTTTTGACATTATTTTGACGATATCTAAAACAACTACTTTCTGATAATTTCTTTCTAGAATTTCCAGATGGTCTCAACTGAGTTTTATTCATTTCAGACTGAGGCTAATTTCATAGATAATCAGTAGTGTCAGATATCTGCTGTTCACACATTCGTCAGTCGATAAACCAGTTTCTGATCGATAGTTAAGTTTTGATATTTTTGTATTTTTACCTTCCATTCTTTCTACACGTATTCATTCAGTGGAATTGTAGCATTAGTTTTTTCAGCCCCCTTTCGGCGATCCAAGTTTATTTATTCCGTCGATTGTTATCAACGGAACGATTTGTAGGTATATGGTAGTCGAAGTAGGTGGTACGTTGCTCAGCTAGTAAAGAAGATTAGATTTTACTGGTAGTATGGTGACATTTATTAAATTAGGTCTCACTTCAATGCCATTTGTTTGGATGAGGATGATTTTCGCGATGTTGTTTTGCCGTCTAAGATACTCGATGTTAACTGAAATAGCGTATCTGCAACATTTTCTTTAGTTCTTTCTTGGAAAGCGTTCCTCCTTCTAGAAGACAGACAAACTATTTTTCTAGGAAATTTTTTATCAGACATAAGGAGAGCGTGGTAAACACTGATGGAGAGCATTCTTACTCCAGTAGTCAAGTTTTTTTGTGTAGCACAGATTTTTTCCCAGCTACGTGCTTATCATATGATGAAGTAATATTATTGTAATATTAAAGTAAGGTGATTATTAGCACTATATTTTTGCATGATTTTCATTAAATAATTCCAGTGGCAAAAATCGACAAGCTGCTCACTTTACGGATTGCAATAAAGAAGATTTCTACGGATTACTGAATTCCGGTCAGGGTCGGTGTCTGTTCAATCAACCACTGAAGGTACCTTCTTAACATCGCAATTATCACCATTTCAATTGGACGTCTATTTCAGAGTGGCTTGTTGCACTGTGGCAACAAAGTCGTGGACTCAGGCGAGCAATGCGATTGTGGTACTATAGAGGTCAGTATCAGGTCTTCCATATGAACTTCATGTTTTGCACAAGGCATCAATGATAAATTTAACATTAAGATGAGGTCCCGACTCGCTGCTTCTCATGGTCTTTAAAGACCTCGCTCATTGTTGGCTCAGTATTAGCTACATATTTTTATAAATCTTATGACGCAGATGTAAGCATCGAAGTGGAAGGAATTCCTTAGTTTTATTTTGTAGTCTTATTAATTCCTTTATTTTTTTTCGGCAGATTTTGTGCCCATCAGGTGTATCTTCGTTTCAGAAACAACGAAGAGGTTTAAAGCAAATAACTTCAGTTACTTTTCTTCGAACATAATACCTTCAAACCCTGTAGCCTATTTAGCAACACTTACGTGATATAACTGATTGACACTACCGGAAACTTTTGAACGATTTAATCGTATGCTTTTGGGTTCACTTAAGAAAATATGGCTTACTGACTGACTGACCCACCGACTGACTGACTTGACATTGTCTGTCCTGAGACTCATGCAGGAACTTTCACCTACCGTTAAATTGTGAATTATTCTTGTCCTTGGTCTAAACTCTCAATATTGGAATGGTTAAAACATGAAAAGATATCTCATCCGTTTTTAATAAGCCCATACTTTGTATGTCTAACCGTACGAAAGAGTTCTGTTTTATTACTACAAATAAATTATCTACTACAATCTGCGATTAGATCCGTTACCTTTTATTGATTAGCATGGTTTATTCACATCCTCACTGTACTTTATCTGTATGCGAATATCCGAGCGGTTGGCTTCTTTACGAAAAATAAAGTTGAAATCTAGAATCTTCGAACTACAGCTAATGTCTGGCTGTTCGAACTACAAAACAGTCTTATGCTATCGCATGTATCAAAATGTTCAAAATTTGTCTGAACCAGTTAGATACTCAGTGAATCTGATACTGAGTGAATTAATCTGATTCAATCAGAGGAAGTAGCTGACTTTGCTGATCAGATATAGCTGTTTTTAATTTTAGCTGGTGAGTGAGTTTCCGCAAGTGGGAAAAAATTGTGGTTACACGCTGTAGTGACCACTACGCTCTAGATATTGTTTCTGCAATATGGTACACATATTGAATGGTATCGTGATGGAGATCAACGCGGAAGATTCTGCTAATCATGTAAATGTTTGGAAGACTGACATTCCAGCGGGTACTAGATGGCGTCTTGACCTGTTGTTCAATTTTTAGGAAGGAGAGTTCAAGATTTACATGAGACTGAGCAGGTGACCGGTAACCAGTACCTGAATGTGTAGTTATAGGCGGCGCCAGGGACCCCCGATAATATTGAATCTTCGCGGGTTATCACATTGATTTCGAGATTGCAGACCCTTGTGGGATGGCTATTACAGTATCAAACTAACAGTTTTTTTTGATTCAGGCCTTGTACTGATTATCACACTGAACTCAGTTATCAGGCAGATCAAGGCAACATGCAGCCACAAGAATAGCTCGCATTAGACAGTATGGGTGTATATTTCATCAGTTCTGGTATCATCACATCAGAACACAATGCTGTCGCTGTTCGCAGCTCATTACTTTACTGCCCCTTTCTCGACTGGTTACGCTGAAGCAACTTTTGAGGAGGGAATTAAATCCTTTTTCATTGGGAATTAGCGTTTGAACTCATTTTATCCTTTTCTCGATATTCGAACCCGGCACCTTCGAAGTTGTGCTACTTGTGCTATCGCGCCCCTGAATGAATTGCATACACAGAAACTTCACAGCTGCTTACTTGTATGTGCGTATTGTTTCAGGAGTGTGATACAGTTGACCCGTGCTGTGATCCCGTGACTTGCACGCTGAAGGAAGAGTCGCAGTGCTCTCGCGGCTCCTGTTGCGACAACTGCAAGGTAATCGGTGATCGATGTCGGTTTTATGTAACGGTTACCTCTACCTTGTCCTTT